CAGGGGCTCTGGTAGGCAGACTCTCTTATGTCCAGAGAAATCTGGGAAGGTGGAAGGAGGGCCAAAAGTTGAGATGTGTGCCTGCGGGCTCTATGAAATGTAAACACAATGATTACTGTAACTGTGTTATACTTTAAAAATTTTTTTCCCCAAGCATCAGCAAGAAAGCATAGTGCAAGTGGTATGAATGCTGGATCAAAACTTAGGAACCTCGCTAACTTGCTTTCTGACCTTCGGCTCTCCCAAGTGCCCCACTCTAAAGGATCTCCTTCCTAACTGAGTAAGAGTGGGCTGGATCAGCTGGCTTGCAAAGGCCCTTCCTGATCTATATCCTATGGTCTTAATTTATTGTTTCTTACTCTAACTTCCCACGTCTTAGGAGGATGATTCAGGTCTAACTTTGGGAGAAGAGGGGTCATTCTGGACTGGTATTTCTAAAGCATACCTTTATTAATGTCACATCTATGCTTAGCTCTCTAGTGCAATATGTTTGCAAGTTTCTCACACTATGCATTTCAGGCTCTGTACTCAATACTTGAAATGCTTATATTTTAATTAGATGGTGCGGAGTGGTAGTGACGGAAGTGGGGGAGAAATGCCTGAAACGTAGATTTCCTGTTTGCAACCCCAGTTCGTGGTACTAACTGTGAAACGTTGAACGAATTACTAACCTCGATGGCTTCAGTTTATCCTCTGTAAAAGAGGATAATAATAGCACCTACCTGATTGGGTTGTTGTGAGGAGCAAATGAGTCTATTTTTGTAAAGCACTTGGAAGAGTGTCTGGCCCATACTAAACTCTCAATGGTATGCTATTTTTTAAATAAATTCTTACCAACACTCTCATTTACACATGAAAAAATGGACCTTCAGAAAGTTTAAACAACTTACTCGAGGCCTTAGAATAAGCAGATGTCAGGAATAGTGATTGGCAGTTTTAGGATATTTTGATTGTATTTCAACCAGGAACTCAGAAGTGCTTGTATCATAACTGACATTCTCTTATCTGTGATACTCTACAGCCAGTGATTTCTAAACCACAAAGCAGGCCAGGTCATTCCCAGATTAAACCCTGCACTAGCTCTTCCTCGTGAAGAGGAAATAAGTCTGAGCCCCTTAGCATGACACATGGACTTTTATTATTTATTTATTTATTATTTTTAATTTCAATAGGTCTTTGGGGAACAGGTGGTGTTTGGTTACGTGAACAAATTCTTTAGTGGTGATTTCTGCGATTTTGGGGCACCCATTACTTGAGTGGTGTATTCTGTGCCCAATGTGTCAGACTTCTTTCTACCTCCCCAACTTCACTGCAGCACCCCCATTCCAATCCACACAGAGATCTTTGCTTCCAGGCCTTTGCTTAGGACTTTCCCTGTGCTTAGAATGGTGTCTCTCCCTCTGAACTGACCAACTCCTTCTTGGCCTTCAGTTTTCACTTAGATGTTAGCACTTCTAAGAAGCTATGGCCCAAGAATCCCTTCCAATGCCCACTTGGAGCCTTCTGTCTTATCACTTCCCCTGGCCTGCTTATTTGTCCTTGTAACCTCTTTTGCTGAATCCTATTTAGACTGATGTTCACATTTCATTGCGGGGTGAATCAGCCTCCAATTTGGAACTTTTAGAAGATGTCATTCTCATCTTTCTAGGCCATTCTTGCTTAGCCAGGGAAGATGAATGAACAGTCAGCACTCAGTTTGTAATACCAGCATGATGAACTGATACAACTCCAGCCAAAAATGGTGGCAAGAAAAATCCTTTTCAGTTCATTTAGCATGGTGGCCTTATTATGGGTATAATATGATTTCCTTGAAGTCCTGTAAAATTTTGACAGGATCCCTTAAGCTGGTCTCAGGGGGATTTTCTCTAGGACTTTGTTCACAAGGCTGAACCTCAAGGCTCTTAATTATGCCACAGGACAGCAGGGAAGCAGTTGAGGAGGAGAAATTAATGAAAAGGATTCTTATCATAAGCTCCCTCTCTAATTTGGGGAAACAGAAACCTCTGCATGTTTTCTCAATAAGCACTCTATCAGAAGCCTTCTTATCCTGACAGACTTCACTCTTTCATAAACACAGCAAGAATAACCTCTGGACACCGGCTTGCCATAGTCAAGTATGAAAATGTGAATTCCATGGGTCACTGTTTTTGCAGCCGCCAGATGTGGATGAAAGGGGAAGGGTGTTTTATTGTGTTTTCTCAAGAAACAGAGAAAGGTCTGTCCTGAGATGGGCCTACTTTCCTCCCACACAAGTGGCCACCATGTGGCCAGAGGACAGCTAGCTAATTTGCAAGATGAAGCTTTTCCAAATATTTGGAATTGGTCTATTCTGTCTTCAGCTAATAAAATAGATTTTTGCTCCAAAATGGATTTAGGAAGCAGACACAAGAGCTCCTAAGGGCTTGTTGGCAAGATACCTGTTAACAGGGTATCCATCTGTCAAATGGATATACAACGGGTAGTCTCTGTGTGGACTGTCTCCAACTTGACCTCTCTTAGTATGGCTGCCTGCATGCAGGAGTTCTGCCAAGAGCAGATGGTACCCAGTGCCAACTGATGCTGAGATGCACAGGATAAGCTTCTGTTCTCTGTCTTTCACTCATACCTAAGAAGTGAAAACATTAAACAAGCATACATTAGAAAACAAACACATGTGCAAATGAGGAATCTACATTAATTGCAAATATCTGATTTAATGATTTATTCAACAGTTTAATATTGGGTGTGTATTATGTGCCAGAGACTTTGCTAGGTATTAGGGAAATAGATGAAGTAAGACATGGTCCCTCTCATAAAGGAGGCTTATGGTTAATTTGGGGAGACAGAGTTATAAACATCTGTAATATAAAGTGCTATAAGCTGCAAAAGAGCTTTGGAGAAGGAGGCCCAGGGTCTGTCTGGGAGAGGGAGGGTAAGTTTATAGTGGAAGTAGTCCTTACGTTGAATCTTAAAGAATGAGTAGGCGGTTTTCAGTGGGGGAAGTATGTTCAGGACAGAAGCATAAACCCTGTAGAGAACATTCTGTGTTTGGGGAGTGACCAGTTATTCATGTGGCTGGATTATAAAGTGGGCGGAAAGGCAGAGGTGGCTTGGGGGAAGACAAGGGCAAAGTCATCTGGGCATTAGTCAGGGTTATTAATTTATATTTGGCTCTGTAGGCAATGGGGGGACATGGCAGAGCACTGCATAATCACTGGAAGAGCAACATGGTCATGCTACAGTGTAGAAAGTGGTTTAGAGATGAGTGAGGCAATAAATATTTAGTCCAGAGAATGAAGCACAGTTGCCTACAACTATCTATAATACAGGGTAATGAGCTTCAATACTAGTTGGGGCTCTTCCTTTTGCTCCTCAAATCTTTCTCTTTACTCTTCACCATACTCTGTGCCCCAGGGGTAAGATCTGTATGGACTGTTCCAGTAGGCTTCCCATCCCTCTGGGTCTAGTTGGGTTCTGCTCATAGAAGCACAGTAAGGAGATGGAAAGGAGAGAGGAGAGTGAAGTCAAGTTATTTACTCCTTTGGGTACTTCCCTGAGGAGTTACCTTGGGCTGATTTTGTTCCTTGATGGAACTCATAGCTCCTCTTAAGGTGGCCCTCTCCTCAAAACTCTTCCCTTTTGCGTTCCCGTAACCCCTCCTGTTCTTACTCCTTTAGGTGTAGGGATGTTCGAAACCTTGCTAGCATTTGAGTATGATGCTATTCCTTGTGGTTTCTCTATATTCTGCACACATCTTCCTGAATCATCCTTTTTAAATACTGTTTGCCTTGTCCAGCTTTGAGTAGGTTGTCATTTCATGGTGGGGCCCTGACTATGCTGTGGGCACAGGAGTAGAGGGCGCAGAAAAGTTAGTTCTGCCTGGGGCAGTGAAGAAGGGATCAAGAAGAGGCAGCACTGGAGCCCTGTCCTGAAAGATGAGATTGAGTTTCCTAGGCATCAAGTGTACGAAAGGCATCCTAGACTGAAGGAACAGAGTCAATAAGTGAATGGCAGAGTGACGAAATGAGGTGTTTGTAGGGAGCAATGACTGAGAGGTGAGGAGGAGGCTGGTGAGGGAGGTGAGGTGCTACAGGAGATGAAGGGGCAAAAATGAAGTTGGGTCAGAGTGGAAGAGCTTTGAATGCCAGTTTAGGAGTTTGTGCTTTCTTCCAGAGGAGTGGGGCAAGAATGGTGACCACACTGGGAAATGCATCATATGAGGAGTGATAAAGGACATGTTGCTGTTTATCTTGGAGAAAACACTTGAGAGTCTAATTGTCGTTCTTCAAAAATATGGAGGATCTGGATAATGATATGGCACTATGTATCATGAGTTCATATTTTTTTGGCCTGGGAATCCTATGTCTAGGAATTTAGCTGAAGGAAATAATCCAAAATGCTGACAAAACCTTCAGGCCAAAAAGGATCCATTGCTGCATTATTTATAATAACCAAAAATTGGAAACAACCTAAATGCCCAGTAACAAGACAGTTGTTAAATGAATTATGGTAGGTCTATACAATAGAATATCAATGTGGTTGTTAACATGAAGTGTACAGAAAGTTTAAAGGTGCAGGAACATACTTTTAATATGTTAAGTTTAAAAACAGGATATAAAGTATCTATACAAAATGATTCAATAATAATTTAAAATAATATGAACTAAATAAAGATGCCAAAATCTTATTTATAGCTATCACTGTTGATGACTTTGTGGGTGACTGATACTTTCAGGCTGTTCCAAAGATCATTTGTAAATAGGAGTTGAGAGCTGGTAGTATCATTCAGATAAGTACACAACCTCCAAAGTGAAAAGTATTGAATGGGACTCCTACCATTTAAATATGTATTTTATGCTGTTTGTTTATCACCATCATTCTCACCACCACCTCTGAATTCATTGAACGGATACCATCTATTAGGCATATACTGTTTTTTCCTACTTATTATGTCTCTTAACCCTTTTGACTTTGTAAAGTTTTATTTATTTATTTATTTACTTATTTTTATTGTACTTTAGGTTCTGGGGTACATGTGCAGATTACACAGGATTGTTGCATAGGTACGTACATGGCAAGGTGGTTTGCTGCCTCCATACCCCTGTCACCTATATTTGGCATTTCTCCCCAGGTTACCTCTCCCAAACCTCCCCACCCTCTACTGTCCCTTCCCTAACCCCCACCAACAGACCCCAGTGTGTGATGCTCACCTTCCTGTGTTCGTATGTTCTCATTGTTCAACACCCACCTATGAGTGAGAACACGCAGTATTTGATTTTCTGTTCTTGTGTCAGTTTACTGAGAATGATGCTTTCCAGATTCATCCATGTACCTATGAAGGACATAAACTCATCGTTTTTTTCTGGCTGCATAGTATTTCATGGTGTATATGTGCCACATTTTCCTTGTTCAGTCTATCATCGATGGGCATTTGACTTGGCTCCAGGTCTTTGCTATTGTAAATAGTGCCACAATGAACATACGTGTGCATGTGTCTTTATGATAGAGTTATTTATAATCATTTGGGTATATACCCAGTAATGGGATTGCTGGGTCAAATGGAATTTCTATTTCTAGATTCCTGAGGAATTGCCATACTGTCTTCCACAATGGCTGAACTAATTTACACTCTCACCAATAGTATAAAAATGTTCCTATTTCTCCACATCCTCTCCAGATTCTGTTGTCTCCAGATTTTTTAATGATTGCCATTCTAACTGGCCTGAGGTAGTATCTCAATGTGGTTTTCATTTGCATTTCTCTAATGACCAGTGGTGATGAGCATTTTATCATATGTTTCTTGGCCTCATATATGTCTTCTTTTGAAAAGTGTCTGTTCAGATCCTTCACCCACTTTTGAATGAGTTTGTTTTTTTCTTGTACATCTGTTTTAGTTCTTTTTAGATTCTGTATAGCCCTTTGTCAGATGGGTAGATTTAAAAAATTTTTTCCCATTCTGTTGGGTGCCAGTTCACTCTAATGATTGTTTCTTTTGCTGTACAGAAGCTCTGGAGTTATATTAGGTCACATTTGTCTATTTTGGCTTTTGTTGCCAATGCTTTTGGTGTTTTAGTCATGAAGTCCTTGCTTATGCCTATATCCTGAATGGTGTTGCCTAGGTTTTCTTCTGGGTTTTTATGGTGTTAGTTCTTATGTTTAAGTCTTTAATCCATATGGAGTTAATTTTAGTGTAAGGTTTAAGGAAGGGTTCCAGCTTCTGCTTTTTGCACGTGGCTAGCCAGTTTTCCCAACACCATTTATTAAACAGGGAATCATTTCCCCATTGCTTGTTTTTGTCAGGTTTGTTAAAGATCAGATGGTTGTAGATGTGTGGCATTGTTTCTGAGGCCTCTGTTCTGTTCCATTGATCTATATCTCTGTTTTGTTACCAGTACCATGCTGTTTTGATTACTGTAGCCTTGTAGTATAGTTTGAAGTCAGGTAGTGTGATGCCTCCAGCTTTGTTCTTTTTGCTTAGGATTGTCTTGGCTATTCAGGCTCTCTTTTGGTTCCATATTAAGTTTAAGATCTTTTTTTCCAGTTTTGTGAAGGTCATTAGTATCTTGATGGAGACAGCATTGAATCTATAAATTACTTTGGGCCATATGGCCATTTTCATGATATTGATTCTTCCTAACCATGAGTATGGAATGTTTCTCCATCTGTTTTTGTCCTCTCTTATTTCGTTGAGCAGTAGTTTGTAGTTCTCCTGGAAGAGGTCCTTTACATCCTTTTTTAGTTGTATTCTTAGGTATTTTATTCTCTTTGTAGCAATTGTGAATGGGAATTTGCTTTTGATTTGTTTCTCTGTTTGTTATTGGTATATAAGAATGCTTGTGTTTCTGCACATAGATTCCATATCCTGAGAGTTCGCTGAAGTTGCTTATCAGTTTAAGGAGATTTTGGGTTGAGACGATGGGTTCTTCTAAATATACAATCATGTCATCTGAAAAAAGAGACAATTTGACTTCCTCCTTTCCTGATTTAATACCCTTTATTCCTTGTTCTTGCCTGATTGCTCTGGCTAGAACTTCCAATACTATATTAAATAGGAGTGGTGAGAGAGGGCATCCTTGTCTATATGTACAATAAGAAGTACCCCTGGAATTTGTAGAAACATGTATGTGTGTGTGTAGAGGCATGTTTAGACTTTCAGAGTCTGGAACTGGGGGCTCCAGGAAATGTTTTTTTATTTTTTATGGTGAAAAGATATACATACATTTAGAATGAACCAGCTGGACTCAGTGTAGATGATCCCAATTTTTTTTGGCAATATTCGAAGCATCGTAATTAGAGGCAAGTCATAAAATGCCTTCCTTTCTCCATCAGTCCGAATCAGTGTGTTGACCTTGGCCACATCAATGTCATAGAGTGTCTTCACAGCTGCTTTGATCTGGTGCCATCTGCTGCTACTTCATAGCCATTTGATCTGGAAACATCAAGTTTCCACTGATCACTGAGTCTGCCACGAAGAAGAGAGGAAAGCTTTTTTAGATGTCTCCAGGAACAGAGGCCCTAGCCAACACCTCAGTTACCTACTTTATCTGGTTTAAATCTCCTGGCCATCCTGTTGTCTCTTGCTCTGGTCATTCTTTTTTCGAAAGAAAGCAACCATGTTCAGAGAAGGTACAGAACTTCTTCAGGTCCATGACAGGGAAGAGGAATAGCTGGGATTCAAAGCTGGGCTGATCCAGTGGATTACAAAGCCCATGGCTCCCCGAGATCCTGGCTGCCTCCTTGTCTTGGTTTTGCTTTTCTGTTGAATGTCTCAAGGAGACCATTGCAACTTCAATGGTAGAGATTCTGTATCTCTGGATACTGGGATGGTCCAGGTCTTAGTCCATAGGCCAGGCCTTCATACTAAGTCAGCAACCAGGGGTGGACCTCCTCATCTGGTCCACCAAATGAGGAACAGGTGAAGAATGGGTGACCCTAGACCCCTGTGAGGGTGAACCAATGGGCGAATTTGGGAGAGCGAAAAGTTATTGGTAAAGATTTTAAAAGTAAGTTTCCCAGTCTTACAAATGTAAAAGACACATTTTCCCAGTTTTAAACCTACAAATTCTTATTAAGATGTGCTCGGCCTTATAACTGAATTTCCGTAATTTTCAAGTATTTTTCACGTTAAAAATGAATAGTAGTAGAACATTTGAGAAACACAAAAAAGAGTAAAGGAGACAAAACCTTAGGAATTTCATCATGTCATTATCAGTAAAAAATATCTTTGACAATTTGGTTCATAAAAACCATCACTTATTGTTTTAATTTGCATTGCTTTGAATATTCAGGGAGACTCCCACACCTTTCCATACATCAACTGACAATTTGTTTCTTCTTTCCTAAGTGCCTTTTTATTCCTTTGGCCCCTTCTTTTCTGGATAACATTTTTGTTTACAGTGAAAATAGAGTTCTCTTACAAGCCATGAAAAGAAGCGATTGTCCAAATATCTTTAGCACTTCACCTATATAATAACTGTCTTTCTTTGGCTTCCCCATGTATAAAGATGAGGGGAAGTGAGTTAGCATAATCATGACCGAGAGCAGTGTTTCCCTAATTGTGTTTTCTAGAACAATAATTCCAGGGGAAGTTAGTGGGTGTAACAGGGGAAAGGGCTCAAATGAGTTGGAAAATGCTTTATAAAATAAGAATATGTGGTTTCCAAATTGCAGTAAAACTATAGAATTTGCTATAGGCTTTTGGTGTTCATAGAGACAGAGGCTTCTCTAGAAAGGGGTAGAAGATAACATTTCCCACTCAGCACTTCATGCACTTTGGACAGCCCTGGTGTGGAGGAATGAATATAGGAGAGGGTGGTGGCCAAAGGCTTGTTTTTCAATAGGTTTGACACTAATGTGTTTTATGACCTTAGGCAAATTCCAACATCCTATCACTGGTAAAATAAACAAGGATATGTTTGAGATGAGGCTTGTAGTATGCACAGGATTTTGATAGGAGGAAAAAGGTTTCAGGTGGAGTCAATTGAATGGGCAAAGTCCAAGATGCCTTTCTACCCAGAGTAATACCAAACCAAATACTGTAATTCTGGTCCCTGTTTTGTAACAACTCCACCCTGTTAGTAGAAAACAGATGTGTTTTCTTTGGAGAAACAGTTTCACCAAGTCACCAAATTTTTCTTAGTTCTGTTTCAGTGCTCAGAAACCCACCTGCCTTTTCCTAAGTGTTCCTGCCCACCTAGATAGACCACATCATAAAAATTCATATTTGAAACAAGAAACCTCACTGCTTCAGTCACTTTGACAGCCAGACTTAGGGCTTATGGAGAAATTACAGATGAATGTCTTTAAAATCCAGTGAAAGACTTTTATGATCCATTACTTGAATAGCAGGTCTAGAATTTTTATACATGGTTTATTTATACTAATTGTATAATATATCCATGCAAACTCATTAGAAAAGCATCTGTTTTGTTAAGGGGTGCTGTGGGGGGGGGAGCATGAACCAGAAGATTATCTGGATTGCTGATTGTGAAATAAGTTACTCATTTTTTAAAAAATCTTGAATTTGCAGTTGTTGTATTACATGTATAACGTAATACATTTCAATTCATACAAGTTTCTGAAACATCTCTTTTGCATCTGGCACAGTGCTGGAGCATTCTTGCTATCCAGGAGCTCAGAGTTTATGGGAAGATAGACTAGAACACAGCTAAAAATAATGATGTAGTGCTCACAAAGCCAAGTTAGTGTTCATAACAAAAAATCCTACAGATCCCAGAGAAAAGAGTGACGGTCTTGCTTGGGGAGATAGAGACAATTCCACGGAGATAATATTTAAGCTGCCTCATAAAGCTTAATAGGATTTTCTCCTTAAAAAGAAGGACATAAAAGCATTCCTTCCTCCAAGAAGCCTTCACTGATCTCCATAAGCAAGTCAACTTCTTCTACTATTACTGTCATAAACAGTGTTCCTCCCCGGTGAAGCATGTACCATCCCCAAAGTTCCCATTTCTTTGTACCATTTCCTAGTTGATGTCTGCTTAGCTAATCTAGTTAATGTTAGACTTTATGTCCAACGGGGGCAGGGGTCATATCCTTCCTTTCT